GTGGCGAGACATGTGATTTTCTTTCGCTCTGGCACGTCGGTTGTGATCGCGAACTTAGATGTTGGCCACTCCGATTCGACGGTTGAGAGCCACCTAGGTCCGCGTCGCCAGAGGTCGGTTTCGAGGAATTGTATGGGCGTCAGTCCTCGCGATAATAAGTCGGCCGGATTGTCATGTGATGTCACGTGTCGCCATGTCGTTACGTCCGTCTTCGTCTGTATGTCGGATACGCGGTTTGCTACGAAAGTTTTCAGTGTGTTCGGTGGTGTGTGGATCCAATTTAAAACTATGGTAGAATCGGTCCAGAATGTCGTATTGCGGATGTCGTGTGTGATGGCTCCTCGGACGGTGGCATATAACGATGCTAGGAGCACCGCACCGCATAATTCCAAACGTGCGAGGCTGATGGTTTTGAGTGGTGCGACGCGCGATTTCGCACAAAGAAGCTGCATCCTGATGTGGCCTGCTCTGTTTATCGTTCGTATGTATAAACACGCACCATACGCTCGCTCGCTCGCATCGCAGAAACCATGTATATCGATGTGATGGACCGCTCGTTGGGTTACGTTGCGTGGAAACTCGATGTGGTTCAGCAGTTGCAGTTGGTTGACGAAGGTGGTCCATTCTGTGTAGAGATTGGCTGGGAGCGATTCATCCCAGTCGATCTTCAGTTGCCATAGCCGTTCCATGATCATTTTCGCCGTAATAGTTACTGGGCCGAGGAGTCCCAACGGGTCAAAGATTTTGGCAATTGCTGACAGGATCGTTCGTTTCGTAATCTTCTGGCTGCTTGGCGGCTCGACCGTGTAGAGAACCCTGTCCTTCAGCGCGTCCCATGATATACCGAGCGTCTTCATGGTGGTCGGGTCGCCTAGGATCTTCGGGTGGATCTGCTCGTGGTCCAGTCCTGCGAGAAGCTGTGGTTCGTTCGAGGCCCATTGACGGATGTTCAATCCTCCTCGTTCGAACAGGTTGTGGATTTCGCTTCGCAGTTTTCTCGCCTCCTTGATCGTGTCAGCTCCGGTGAGCAAATCGTCGACGTAGAGATCCCGTTTCACAATCGTCGAAGCGTTCGGGAATTGTTCTCTTTCGTCGTCCGCGAGCTGATATACGCATCTTATGGCGAGATATGGAGCTGCTGTCAAACCAAACGTGACGGTGTTCAGCTCGTATGTAGACACGTTGTTTTTCTCGTCTCTCCATAAGATGCGCTGGAAGGCTCGATCCTCCGGTCGCACGAGGAATTGCCGATACATTTTCTCTATGTCGCCGGTCAAGACATAGACGTGCATCCTAAATCGCAGGAGCAGTGAAAGTAGGTCGCTCTGTATCGTGGGCCCGGTTAACAACGCGTCATTAAGCGATAATCCGCTGCTCGATTTAGCGGAGCCGTCGAAAACCACGCGGACCTTTGTCGTCGCGCTCGTGTTTTTAAAGACCGCGTGGTGAGGCAGGTAGAAACCCGGTGCGTCGATTTCTTTTACCTGTCTCATGTGCCCTAGCTCGAGGTATTCCTTAATGACCGCGGTGTACTCGTTGCGCAACGCGGCATTGTTATTTAGTTTCCGTTCCAATGAGAAGAAGCGCGTCAGGGCGCGAGATCGTGATTCCCCGAGGTGATTTTTCTTCTCATTGAACGGCAGTGCAACGGTGTAGCGTCCGATGTCGTTGCGTTGCACGTGCTTCCCGAAATGTTCTTCGCATTCGCGCTCTTC